CTGTCCTATTCCCCTGTCCCCTGACTGCCCCCCGGAACCCCCCACCTCCTTACCATGCCGGAGCCAGCCACACCACCGTGCTGTCCACCCAGGAGCTCAGGGGCTGGGCAGGACAATCCCGCAGGCCATAGTTTGCCCACCTCTGCCTTAAACAGTCACTTAATCTATACAAATCCTCTTGAAATCAAAGGCTATAACTACATGCTGCTGACTTCTAAAATGCTTTGTCTAACTTTTTAAATAGGGCAAATTAACTTTAAAGTTTCTGTGGGAATACTATGGAAAATGTTTTCCCTATAAACGTGACTAATCCACTCCCTCTGCCTCCCAACTCACAGTGCCATTGTCGCTCATGCTCCATCTGATCTGGAGAGACCACCTCTGAGGGTGAGCAACAGTTCACTCTCCAAGCCCATTCCCGTCTCAACGCAGAGACTTCTAGCAAGGCCATCATTTGGTGCCAGTTTTCCTGGTGGTTATTCTGGTGTGGACACCTGTTGACTGGACATGGGATGGAGACCCACCTGCTTATATACTGACCAATGGGCAGTCATCCCAAAGCTAAACTTCTGCCATTTCCAACCCATTTTTCTGTTATACAAGGTGAAGGGATAGGTGGTGTCAGGAGGCGATAGCAGCAGAAGGTGCTGAGTGTGTGACACTTGTGATTTCAGGTCCCAATGGCGTTTGATGATGTCTCAATCCAAATTCCCCGGGAGAAGTGGGAGAATTTGGAAGAGTGGCAGAAAGAGCTTTACAAGAATGTGATGAAGGGCAACTATGAGTCTTTGATCTCACTAGGTAAAGAGCAGTTTACACTTATTGGAGGCTTTGCAATCTGACTTGATTAATTTCTTCTATCTCATGGCTGTTCTCAACTTCCTCTGATTTCTGGTGGATCAGCACCTATCTCAGACCCTGTGTGATAGACCAGCTCCACAAATCTTCCCAATTTAGAGAGATTTCAAAATGCAAACAGGGTTCCTGATCCCTCCACCTTCTGAGTTTTCTGGTACTGAGTTAATTGTGTTTGTGTAAGCTCAGGCCATGTCCAGAAACCTGACCTATTCGTCGTGTGAAGGTGTTGCAAGATCTTCTGCATTAATGGCTGTCTCAGGGCTTCTGCCCATGTTATACTAGAAACACACATTTTAAAAATTAGGACTTTGCAAAAGGTTCACACAGAACCCTGAGCCACCTGATATTGGTGAGGATTGAGGTGCTGTTAATTTATGCAAACCTGAGAGTGCCAGCAAGTCATGAGGAAGTGATTACTAGGTCCTTGCTCTGGAAACCGTCCCTTGGTACAGACTGTCTTTCTGATTATTGACTTGTCTTGAATCCCCCTTTCGATGATGAGGATTATAGCAAGGCAACTCTGGAGGAGCCAAGGAAGTCTGAGCACAGGCAACTTTGTTTTAGACTGGCTCCTTAGTCAGTGATCTCTTCCTGGCAAGGAATGAAGATCCACGTGTCTAGACTGATTCTTTTAGATCAGATACCTTTGATACTGCCAGCCTCACGGTATCCTTGACATGTCTGCATAGCTTGCTGTGCCGACTGACAGCTGCCCATGAATGGCGGCAGCTTTTTCTCTCAGGATACGATGATGAGCTTTGGAGAAGTGCCCAACACATTTAGGCCTAGTCTTCACTTACCGGCTGGTCCGGCGGCATGCCATCGATGTTCTGGGATCGGTTTATCGCGTCTGGTTAAGACGCGATAAATCGATCCCGGATCGATCCCGGAAGTGCTCACAGTCGGCGCCGGTACTCCAGCTCGCCGAGAGGAGTACGCGGCGTCGACGGGGGGAGACTTCCGGCCGCGTCTGGACCGCGGTAAATCCGGACTAAGGTACTTCGAATTCAGCTACGTTATTAACGTAGCTGAATTTGCGTACCTTAGTCCGAAGTCCGGACTAAGTGGGGACCAGCCCTTAGAGACCTACCGCTTCCTTGATAACCTAGAGGTTGCCTTTATTCTCCAGCAGCACAGGAAAGCCAGGCATTCTGCATTTTGCGGTTGTGTGAGGGAACCCCCCCCCCCATCCTGCAAGAAACTCCCATTTTCCAGCAGACATTTGCTCTTCTGCATGATCTTCGTTCACCGTTTCTTACATCTGGGCAGATTACCCGTCTCTTCCAGAGAGGCAAGGAGGTTGGCTTAAAACCAGGAGAACCTTTAAAACTAAAATCAGTACTTACTATATCCTCAATACCTCTTTCCCCTGAACAGATCATGCCATTTCCAGGCCTGATATTTTATCGCGGGTTGAACAAGGGGAAGAGCTATGTGCTGGGGAGCCGCAGGACTTGGAAGTGAGAGAGATCCCTACAGAGTCGACCACAGGTGAGTAATAGACTGAAATGGAAAAGTGAGTGCAGTTAAACGCAGGGAATTCCACCAAAGAATAGAAATATATGAGGAAAAACCACATGAGCTTGATACGTTTTAATTGACAGTTTTCTTATCTTCTTTGCAGATGTCATTCACGACTTTCCACCTGCCCCAGGTACTTCGGTCTCTGCCGGTCCCAGCACAGGTAATACAAAAAATCTCCTTGACACACTGATTGCAGCTAATGTTGCGAATCCTGCTCATCTAGTCACAGCTTAAATTTCTGTGTGCAGGTTCTGATTATCCTGCTCTTGCACCAGTCTCTCCTTGTTCTGGCTCTTCAGAGAATTTGGATCATCTGACCTGTTCACCCCATATTTTTTAATTTCCATTTTAAGGTGTGCACCCCATCAGAATGTGCATCTCTTCCAGCAAAGAAATAGTCAAATTCACCAGTGGTATATGCTAATGCAACTCTCCATTGAAGTCAGTGGAGTCATGCCAATTTGCTCCAACCGGATACTTGGTCCATTGTGTTGGTTTCAGTTCAGCTCTCAAATACTGAATAACATGTTCAGTGGATTATAGATAAGCTGTGATGTCACCCTCTTTCCTCTGAACAGAATCTCCCATTTCTACCACGGACATTATGTCATGGATTAAACAAGAAGAGGAGCAGAGCATACGGGCTCAAGCAAATGCTAAGGAACGAGAAACGCATAGAAGTACCTGCACCAGTGAGTACAGGAGTGAAATAACTGAGGAACAGTGAGTAAATTGCCTGAGAGTTACTTTCCTGAGGTGGCTAGTCCCCTGGATTTGTTGGGAGGCCCAGGCAGAGCCATCTCTCTGTACATTTGGGGTTTAGAGTGCCAGCCTGGAGGAAGGACATTCACCATGGATGCAGCTCCAATGGAAAGACAGAGGCAGGGCTTTGCTAATGAGTCGGAGGTGAAGGGGTAGCTGTTAGACTTCCTGTGAGGTGCAGATGGAGAATCCACTTGAGGGGAAAGTTTTCAGCAGCTGTGTGGGCTAGGGACCCTAGTTGCCCAAGCGTAGAGAGAGTGGGGATATGAATCATTTTTCCTCTCCTTCTGGAAAGAGGGCCCATCTCTGGTGACTGATCTACACAGAACTGTTCTTGGTCTTCAGTTTCTTTGTTAGCAAGAATGGCCCAAAAGGCAGAGTATGGTGTAGAGAACCAGAAGGAGGCAGACTGCAATATGACTGATTTCCTCCAGTGTTGGGCTTGAGGGGCCTGTAACATTCAGGTGTTTTTTTTTTTTATTTTAAAGGTGTTTTATTGATAAAAGAACCAGTAGTTGCTCATTCAGTGTTCATCCATGCTCCACACAGTAAATACCACCTTATACCACTTGGCCAGATAAAATGAATATTAAGACTTAAACGATTTTTTGACAGCACTCGTAAATCCCTTGTAAGCCTATTAATTCTTATACAGTTGGGAATGTTGTTTTTTCCTCTCTCCATAACAGTGAAAGCTTCACTCCGCTCCATAACAGGTTTTTATTCCTATATATAAAACTTTCTGTAAACAGATAAGCCCTGATCCTGCCCTGAGCTCTGCACAGTTCTCCATCTGTGCAGAACATCTTGCAAGATTGGGGCTTAAAACTCTAATCACGTGTACGTAGAAGGCTGGTTCCATACAGCACACGGCTCTTCTGTGACTCTGATTTCTGGGTAGATGTCCACAATTTCTCTTTGGAAACATCATAGGGAATGATCTTGTATTTTGAAAAGCACTAGGAAATCAGAGTGAGAGTCCCCTTTTATCTTGGTGTGACTGAATGCAGATCTAGATGCATGTATTGTAGGTCCTTAGTTCCAAAGCTTTGGATTTAGACTTTTCTTAGAAGTGAAACTCAGCTCAAAATTTCTTCTTGGTGTAATGCACTAGGGAAAAAGTGGAAGATTTTCACTCCGCTTCTGTCCCACACCTGCTGTATGATCATGCAATAGATAAGGTTTACGGCCAGCTGTGTTGTAATTTTGGTGAAAAATGATGGGACATGGCAAGAATGATTCTTAGAGCTCCATTTTTGACTAGTCAGTCTAGAGGCCAGTTTGGGGTGAGGAGCTAGCCCAATGGAGAACTCTCTCTAAATAGCGGGATATGGGTCACTTCCTAGTACAGGGGTGGGCAAACTTTTTGGCCCGAGGGCTACATCTGGGTGGGGAAATTGTATGCAGGGCCATGAATGTAGGGCTGGGGCAGGGGGCTGGGGTGTGGGAAGGAATGCGGTGTGTGGGAGGGGGTACAGAGTGGGAGAAGGCTCAGGGCAGCGGGTGAGGGCTCAGGGCAGGAGGCTGGGGTGCAGGAGGTTAGGGGGCTCAGGGCAAGGGATTGTGGTGCAGGATGTGGGAGGGGGTGTGGTGTGCAGGAAGGGACTCAGGGCAAGGGGTTGGGGTGCAGGAGGGGACTCAGGGTAAGGGGTTGGGGTGCAGCAGGCGGTGCAGAATGTGGGAGGGGGCTCCGGTGTAAGAGGAGGTGTGGACTGTGGGGGGGGATCAGGGCAGTGGGTTGGAGTGTGGCAGGGGGCTCAAGACAAGAGGTTAGGGGGCTCAGGGCAGGGGGTTGGGGTGTAGGCTCCGGCCCGGCGCCGCTTACCTCAAGTGGCTGTGGGGTGGCAGTGGCATGCAGTGGGGCTAAGGCAGGCTCCCTGCCTACCTTGTCCCCGTGCTGCTCCCAGAAGTGGCCAGCATGTCCGGTACTGGTTCCTGGGGGTGGGGGTCAGTGGCTCTGCCTCGCACTGCCCTGTCTGTGAGTACCATCCCCGAAGCTCCCATTGGCCGCAGTTCCCCATTCCAGGCCAATGGGGGTTGTGGGGGGGCGGTGCCTGCAGGCAAGGGCAGTGCATGGAGCCCTCTAACACCCACCCACCCCACCCCCCAGGGACCACAGGGAAATGGTGCCGGCCGCTTCCGGGAGCGGCGCAGGGCCAGGGCAGGCAGGGAGCCTGCCATAGCCCTGCTGCACCACAGGGCTGGCAATCCCACAGGCCGGGTTGAAAGCCCCGACAGGCCGTAGTTTGCCCTCCCTTCCCCTAGTACCTACAGACTGAGAGTAAAGTCTTTCTTACCTGGCACTGTCTCAACAGACCATTCCTAGCATTTTTGTAGCACGTGCAGAAAAGAAATCTGACTTCATGGGATTCCATTATGAATTAGAAACCTCCAAATCTTGAGGGGTTTCTTTATTCCAAATTGATGCATAAGTAATGTAAGGATTATCTTTCCCCTCTCCTCGCCCCCACCCCCCTTTCTAGCAGATGATAGGATCTTGGTCAAACATGAGGACCGTCCTGAGGAGAGAGGTCCTGTGAACCAGGAACTGCCTGTGACCTTATCAGGAAGATCAGAAGCATGCGTTTTCCAGGTAGCCAGCTGCGAAAATCAGCCCAACTCAAACATGCAGCTCGTCTCAAACACAACCCCTACAGCAAACAATCTGGGGGAATCCACTCAAGGTGAAACCGAGTTTGGTCAGTTTCCAAACGTCACCGCCCAACAGGGAAGCCAACTGGGAGAGAGACCATATTTGTGCAGTGAGTGTGGGAAGTGCTTCAGCCGGAAAGACATCTTCATATCACATCAGAGAACCCACACAGCCGAGAAACCCTATTCCTGCTCCGAGTGTGGGAAAAAGTTTGCCCAGCAATCCAACCTGAACAACCACTTCCGGCTCCACACAGGTGAGAGGCTTTATGTGTGTTCACAGTGCGGGAAGAGCTTCATCCACCAGTCCAGGCTCACCTACCACTACAGAGTCCACACGGGAGAGCGGCCCTACATGTGCACAGAGTGCGGGAAGGGCTTCACCGAGCAATCCAAATTAACAAACCACTATCGAATCCATACAGGCGAGAGGCCGCACACTTGTGCCGAGTGCGGGAAGAGCTTCAGTTTGAAGATAAGCCTTATAATTCACCAGAGAAACCACGCCAAGGAAAGGCCTTATGAATGCACTGAATGCGGCTTAAACTTCAATTGTCACTCAGGACTCATCAGGCACCAGATGATTCACACGGGGGAGCGACCCTATAAATGCACAGACTGTGGGAAAGGCTTCATGCGGAAGGAGCATCTTCTGAACCACCAGCGACTACACACGGGAGAGAGACCCTACCAATGTACGGTGTGCGGGAAAAGCTTCATTCGGAAGCATCATCTTCTGAAACATCAGCGGATCCACACCGGGGAGCGGCCCTACCAGTGCGCTGAGTGTGGCAAGAGCTTTAGGTATAAACAGTCGCTCAAAGATCACCTGAGAATTCATAGTGCAGAGCAGGGGCCGCCGGAAATTTCTCAGGGCCTTTTGCAGGAAATAGAAACTGGGCTCCTTGATGTTAAAATAGAAAATACATGGTAGCATGATTGTAAATAGTCAGTTGCCTAATAAAAGTACATCAGCTCCAGCAAATTGGAAGAGGATGTTATCGCATTATAAAGGTAAGTAAAAGCAGACGTTCAAACTTCCCTCTCTTAGAGGAGCACACTCATGAGCTTCTAAATCCAGGAGCCCTCGAGAAGAAAGGATCCTCCATGTGCTCACATGAACTCTACAAAGGGGAAGGGAAGGCATGAACCTTGGCTCTGTGTCTGTCAAACTCATTATTGAGATGATTTGTACCTTCGTGTTGGTCTAACTCCTGTTTGAAGATCTTCCCGGTTAAAGCTTACCTTGCTGTGCATGTCAATCTGTTATACACACAAAGTGTATACAAATTTCTTGAATCTTTAATTTGAGCAGTCAATGCTTTTCTTTAGTTCTTGGACTTTATTTTAGGGAAAACAGGAACAAGAGGTTAGACGTGACCCAGGTGAGAACTTTTTTTTTAAATAATAATAATAATAATCCACTTGTTTTTAAATACCATTAGGATCCTGCAATGTTTTACAGATTAAACGCTTTCCAAAAGAGCCTCATCAATATGAACCATGTCTTGGAAAACTTGAGTGGTCACTTCTGAGAATTCACAGATTTAAAAAAGAATGCAGCAGAGTTCATGTATTTTTTATAAGATAGTCAAGCGTTGTTTGCATGCATAACACTGCTGATATTAAGTGTCAGACCACTATTTATAAACCAAGCATTTATTACTTCCTGAATTTATGAAGTGTGGGGTTTTCTTTCTCTCAAAAAAGACAAGATTTTTGCAATTCCTCAGTATTTAAAAGTCTAATGACTGGAAACAAAAGTGGGATTTCTGTACATATGGGAAACGGGAAACCTACATAAAAAATTATCAAAGAACTTCTGTTTTAAAGATCCCCCCCCAGCTATGCCACTGAAATAATGTTGTAGTACTGTGATCACTCCATTAACGAACACATCTCCATGCCGGAATATTAGTGGCCCTACAGCCTGTAAATGGCACTGTTTGTACACCGATTCCAGGGAGAACATTTTTCTTTGGCTGGTAGGGAATGTAATTCTTCTGAGGCACTTTGTTCTCCATGGTTTAAACATTGATGGACAGGGGATGATGTGGGTGTATGCTTCTGTATAGCTCTTTATTACATGGCTTAGTCACATGTGCAAAGTGTTAGCACCAAATTAAGGCTTTGATCACTTAACTTCTTGAGACTGCACAGACTGCTGCACCTGCATCAAGCCCTGCTGAAGACAGTGAGGCTGTGTGTGGACACAACTGCCCACATGCAGGAAGTTGCAGGATTTGGGGCCTAAATTTGAGTGTATATGCACCAAGGCCTTGATCCAGTTTCCCTTGAAGCCCATGAGTTTTTTCCATTGGCTTCAGTGGGCTTTGTGGCAGGCTGCCAGCGTGCTAAAATATAGAAAACTCAGCACAAGGACCAAAAAGACCCTGCAATTGCGACATTTAGTATAGTACTTGGGGCTTGTTTTTGGGGGGTGTTCTGATTTTTGCTTTATTGCTATTTTTAGGCTTCCTAGTTATCCTGTAAAGAACCAAATTCCTGGGGGGAAAAAAATCTCTGCAAAAATAAGATAAATATCTTCCACCGTGCTTATGAGCTAGGCCTTCAAGAACAAAAATTTGTGAGGGGAGACACTGAAAACTTTTTTTTTTAATTTACATTAATTGCAGCTGGCTGCTAATAAGTGTTCGCAGCAGAGAAGTGCATGCCCCTGTGGAGTTAACTTGAAGCTACTGCAGTGCATTCAGGTCAAAAACATCTTTGTAAAGATTATAGTATATGCCGGATGCAGGAGAATATTGACCTGAGGCTTAAGAGCTTCTGAGCACTGTCCAGTCCTCTCCGCATTTGGTCTATTATTGGTAGTTTGAGTGAAAAGGAACAACTTCTCATGGGTAACTGGCCATTCACTCTGCAGTTACAGGCGCTATGTTCCACCGGTAGGCACGATGGCAACGGTTTTCCCCTTTTTCTAAACCTCAACTCACACGATCAAGTACAGTACATCCATTCCTGTTTACTGCTATTCTCGGTCTGCTCTAGAAAATAGACGAGGATGCAGAGAATACCTTTCAGCAGCCTGGGGTGTAATCATCCTTTGAGATATAGTCAATGCCATTGTGTTAATTTAAATCACTGTGAACACATCCATACAACCTTTTATGTAAAGTCTCTGCTTTTGTATAAACTGCCAGCACCTGAATAATTTTAACATCTTTGGCGTGAAAGCTTGTGTGTTAACTTTTATGGACCAATAAATGGTACTACCGGATTTATCCTGTCTGCTGTGTTTTAACATGTTGTAGCAGAGGTTTTGTCAATCTGATGTAGCACAGGAGGTCATCTGAAGCATGAGTGTCGTCCCAAGATGGATGGACTCTCCTGCAGCTAAAATCCTCTTCCTAGCAGCCACTTTCTTGTCATCACCTCCCCTTTCTTCCCATCTTGTGTGCACTGCAGCTAGTCAGAGGAGTTCCTGGGGGTCAGTAAATGCCAAGCTGCAAAATGGAAGGGAAAAAACATGCTCACTTGCATTGGAAGCTCTTTGGGGCAGGGACTCCTTTGACTCTGTCTGTACCCCATCTAGTACAATGGAGTCCTGCTCCATGCCTGCATCTCCTAGGTGCTACTGCCGTACAACGAAACGTTTCAACCTTGCATAAGGCCTGTAGTTTTAAACAATGTTTAAACCACTTTGGCACAGTTTAAAACCTAGTTCTAGCTGAAAAAGTGTAAATGCACTTTAGCTTGCCAGTGGGGAGAGGCCTTTTAAGGGAATTAGAAATGATTTTTCAGCGGAACTTCTTGTACCATTTCTCAGGCTGTGTGGTTAAACTGGTTCAGCAAGAACCGTGGAAGGTGTAATTCTACCCTGAAAGGTGAAATTGAAAATAGCAACTTACTCAACAGATCTGCTCCTGTGTGTATCGAGAGCCTTAGCTCCCGACTTCATTAACAAAAACAAGTTTTTCTTCTGCTCACCCCATTTAAGTCTGCAGGGCGGAGCCAACACAGCTGAGAGAATGAGCTGGAGTCTGTTCCTTCATGTGCTCGTTGACAGAATTGTTTACTACATCCTAAGCAGTTACATCTGTGTAAACCCCCTGAAAGCAAGGAGGTGTCATGGCTGTTGAGGGCTTAATTTGGGGATGTAGAAGACAGACCCTAACCTGATTCAGATGAACCCAGTCTGAGATTGCAGGGCTGGGAAAAACAAATGTTACTTATTAAATGTGCTCATGCTACAAAGAAATAATTGAATGACAGTAAACAAGCCCCTACAATGCCAAGCTGAGAGTTGCTTTTCAGAACAGAAATACACTTTTTAAAGAGCGTGTAGATCATTTACAAAAGAGTCTGAAAGCTCCATAACAGAGGGTGGTGCCATAATACCCCTTTAGTGCTTTACATTTCCCGTGCCCTGTATCAACAAGAATTGGTGCTCTTCACCTGTATGCGGGTGGTCTGTAATATACAGGGTCAGACTAGATCTGCTAGTCCCTTCTGTCCTTTAACGGTGTATCAGGTTCACCTGCAAACCATGTGCTGCCATTGGCAGTGGGGGCTGCTGCCAGAGATGATTAGAGCAGTAGGGGAAATTAAAGGGACAGAATGAATGTATTCACAAAGTACAGCTAGCTTTTTTCTTCTGGACCGTACAGCCCAAATGAATTATGGAGCCAGTAGTGAGGTAGGCCCAAATGCTGGCCATCGTTATATGGGAGGAAAGGGGCTGTAAGCGGGCACTTCACTGGGCTGGCCAGTCCGAACAGGCTGTGGCTGGTGTGGTGTGCATAGGGAGAGGTGTGGTGGTGCGACAGGTGTGCACAGGGGTAAGCTCACACAAAAATACTCCTCCTTCCCCTTCCCACCCCGTCTCCACACAGGGGCCTTGTGAAACTTCACTTCTACAAAACAGTTCCCCAGTATTTTGGAGCCAGGGCTTCAACCCCTGCAGGTCCCAACAGCAATGCTGCGGGGGGTGGGGGGATTGCTGTTTTATTTTTATGCCTTAGAAGAGGCAGTATGGGGGGAGGGTCTATCAGCTGGGAGCCTGGTGCAGGGGTTGTGCAGATCCCCCTTTAATTACCGCAGTAGCTAAGCATAAGGACAGGCCCATGTTCGCTGCAGCGGGAGGGACCCCGCATGGGAGCAGGTCGTCGGCCAGGGCTGGCGGCCGAGAGGCTGCCCCAGGCAGGAGCGGGGTGGGCCTGGGCCCCCCAGGAGCGGGTCTCGTGGTTCTGGAACTGGGCAGATGCAATACCGGCTGCGGGTCGGAAAGGCCGGGGGGAGGGGCGCTCCTGGGCTGGGTTAATCGCACGGTCCCTGGGGAGACCCCGGCCGGGCGCTGCTCCCTGCCCACGAGAGCTCGTGCAAACACCTGCCGGCTCCGCGGGGCGGCCCCGGGTTCAAATCCCGCGGGAACCGCGGGCTGATGCTGGGTGCGCGGCCCCGCCCCGCCGCTCCCGGG